CCCCAAAACCCCAAAACCCCAAAACCCCAGTTAAAAGGTGTCAAATAGAATAAATAAAATATAATGCTTCCATCAATAACCCCGAAACCTCGAAGCACCTCTCTTAATCCTCGTTTCTGCTCACCTTCGCGGTACAGGACTAACGTGATATGAGATACGAAGAACATTTTACAAACGAGCAGGAAGAACTTAGCTCTAATGAAGAGGGATCCTTTTAAGGTACAGAACAAGTTCCATAACTCTTCAATGGCATCACCTAGCATCCGCAAGGATTATTCTCCCATCACTAAGCTAGCTACTTTGCCTCTGGACAAGAGGGTGGTTGACCTCAGAGTCGCCATGAAGTCAAATAGAGTCTCCCAACAGATCCTTAAGAAGAGATTAGCCGCTAATAAGACAACTTTAAATAGTATGTGGAAAAGCAACAACCGGAGTGGAGGCTTTACTAAAAACTTCTTAGGCAGAATGTACCAAGATAATTCTATGAATAAAGAGCTTAAGAGAGATATCACTTTGGAAAGAATTCAGAAGAAGATGGGTAAGTCCTTTAACAGTAGATATGCTGGCTTGTATCATTGCAATATTTGAGACAAGGATACGATTTCTTGAGGGATTATGTAACTCCTGATTTATTCTCATAGTTCTCCTTTAGATAAATTTAAGAAGGCATCAATGATAATATTATGCAATTTTGTTTGTATTAATGCTTATTATTAGCAGCTTAGAATTTTCTCACATCATTTGGATTCGAAATATTTCAGAAATCTTTGAGGACAAAACTAAAACATATTTACATAACTCATACTAATTTTTGAAAAATAGGTAAAATTGATACTCAAAGGCAACTAATCCAAAACGATAGATACAAAAGACAAAAGATTATAGCTTTCTACAAAAAGAACTATAATATAAAAATAAAGAACACTGATATCCCAATTGAGCGATTAGAAGAAATTCTCTGCACGAAAGTGACCAAGCAGAGCCAATCTAAAGCTGCCTTGACCATCCAAACTGCATTTCGAAAGTACATTGCCTTGAAACGGTTCAAAATGTACATCAAGAGAAGACTTGATGCTGTCATGTACATCCAGAGAGTCTGGAAACGTTACAGGATGATCTCCATGATTCCTAAAGCATGGCGCAAGTTCAAGAATAAGCGTATACTCCGCATCCAGAAGTTCATGAAAGGATATATCGTTCATAAAAGAACCTTTGAGACTCTCAGTAAGCTCAAGTTGACTCAAAACTTTGAGTATTTTGGTCAGATAAGACATAAACTTTACGTAAACTCTCAGATAAAGATCAGGTATTACTATCTTAAGTGGAAGAAGAGGATTGCCATGAAGAAAAGGGCCTCGATTAGAAGTGCCACAAAGAATAAGAAGTTGAAAATGACTCATAAATTTAATAGCTTTAGGAAAGGAGCTGTTGTTTACAAGAATCCTTCTATACCAGCGTCTCCTGCAAAACTTAACTTGAACTCTACTCAGAAAGGTTCTATAGGAAGTAGGAAGATGACTAATCTTGAAAGTCCGACCATCAGGCCTACAGAAGTAGAAAACCCTGATTCGCCTGTAATAAGGATGAACCCTGTCGGATCTTTGTCAAGTCAAAAAGGAATAGACAGCATTAATGAAGGAGAGGAGGAATAGTCCCTTGTCTCCATATTTTGCTTAAGATTTCAATCTGGTTTGGCCCAATCGGGGTTTTGGGGTTTTGGGGTTTTGGGGG